AAAAAGGCACAAAAAGAATTTATTTAGATACATTGTCTTGAATCACCTTTCCTTCAGAAATATGAGTACACAGTGGGTTTTAGGTTGGTCAATATCCTTCTACTGTTTACTATCGCCTGTGTTTTTCATACAACCCTCTCTTTCCTCTTTTACCTTGTGGCAACAAAGTCCCAAAATAGTTGTGCGGGAGGAATACTAAAACATTTCTTTGCAGAAAGAATAAAAAGCTAATCTGGATAATTCAACCATCTCGTGGGACTTACTTCCACTTTAAAAAATACAGAAACATTTCAGGTTTAACATTTAACATCGTTGAATTCGGCACCTTCAGCTGATCCAATTACTCACCACACCTCTCTGAAAGCTGAGGTTGTCATGGAGGATGGTTGAAGTCCAACACCAGGGACGGGTGATGTGTCTATTGGAAGCGGTTGCATGTATACTGCATGGTGTGGTATTGCTTGCGCTTCGCTCAGTCTCGTTTTCTGTGTGTCGCTTCTGGGAGCTAAGTTTGGATTTTATTTACAGTTGCTTCCTCTCTTTTGAGTTATCCATCACTGCCATTTGTTGGCCAGGAGGCCCTCCACATCTTTCTTTATCGTCTTTTTCCCTCTCCTCCCATATGCTGTGCCTTCCAAAATCCTGAAACTCAGGCTGCCTGGCCCTGAAGCCATTTCTATTTTTATTCTAATTTCTCTTCTACCGGCCCAGACGTCACCCTTAGTTTAAGTCTTCAGTTTCTCCCTTCAGGAAACAACTCTATTTCTAGCACATTGCTCTCACTTTCCCTGAATACTAAGAAAAAAAAAAATCTAGTTCACAGCTGTGTATGATCTGCAGCCCTTCGTCATGGACCAGCCAACTTCCTTCACTGATCTCTTTTTCTTTATATATTAGTTAAATTTCTGGTTTCATGATTCAATATTTATGTGGTTTTTCTTATATTTTAAAAATTTTCTTGTGAACAATATATTTCTTGTTATTTCTTTGTATTTTATTGTCTGATGGTTATTCATACTGTGTTGTTTGGTGATACCTGTTTAATAGGTTTTCCACAGGTGACTTACGAAATATCCTAATTTCTTTACTGCACTCATTTTCTTTAAATTAAGCTCATGCCTAGAAAGTAGGTGCCATTTTTTATAGCTCTGTCAAACTAGAAAGTTGAGTCTGATTTGCTGTCTTCTGCTTGCAGTTTCTTTCATACTGGCTATAGTCCATTTCTCATCCTCTATAGAATAATTGTATTTAGATCATTGTGCTACATGTGATTTAATGATCTAATCTGACAGGCTTTATTTTCGCCTGCACTGTTATTTTGTTTACATGCAGCAAAAAAGGAGAATTTTTTTTACTTCATCTGCTTCATATGATGCAAAGTACAAACTAAACTCTTAGCAACATTATCAGAAATTTCAGTTGAAATGAAAACGGGCAAACTTACCCAATGGAAGGCCTAGAGCAAAATAGTAAGAGGAAAAAATATAGTTCGTATGGTCAGAATGTCTTTTGCGTGATGTTGTGGTAGAAATCTTGGTTTAGCCTGAACTGACCCATGCTCGGCTATGGCTCCGACTGTATCTCTTTGCCATTTTTTAAGGGCTGAATACTGGTTGCTGAATTAAGTGGTAAAACTTCAGAGAAATCAGGGTTCACCAAGGCCACAGAATGCATAGTAAGAGTTTCCATGTTGACCTAGTTCTCATTCTCGTAAGGTCTGGCCACCACAGCCACTTTGCTGCATGCCCTTCATTCATATATTCTTTTAAGAGGGAGCCAGACTCCTTTACTGTCTCTTTACCGTGATATAAATTTATTTAATAGTCCTAGATCCCAGTCCCCTGACTTAGTGGGCTCTCCTCGTGTCAGGCTCTGGCCACACTGCCACTCTTGCTGGTTTGTATGAGAGGGCAGTAGGTCCAGCTGCAGTAGGGTATTTCTCCCAGCTGAAGCACTGGGTTGTTGACAAAGCTGTAGAGAATGGATTGCATTGAAAATGTCTGAGCAGGTTTTCACTGCAAAAGTGAACAAAATGACTGACTGGGAGTGGGAACAAGCACAACTGTGCTTGAAACCGTGTTAAATAGTCATATATAGTGTTTTGAAGTGGAAGGTCTGTGTGCTTCTTACCTCTTTTCCTCCTCTTCTTTTTCCATAAATGTAACAGTATTTATTGACACCTTGAAATAACCAGATTGGAGTCGCCCTTCATATTAGAAGGCACAACTGCCTAATGAAGGCCACGGGAGTTATGCCAGCTTACCCAAAGACTGAATTTAACCTCTCTCATTTGTTGGGAAACCAGCCGCAGTGCTTCGTTGGTTATTTGCCACAGCCAAGGCCTGGTTTTGGAGAGCAACCTATACCCCGGTGATGTGCTGTTACTAAGCATACGTTGTGTCAACAGCATGTATTTTGGGAATTTCCTTGCAATGTATTGTTTGTGTATGAAGATCAGTTAGTGCACATAATGGATTTGTTTGGTTTTCAGTAATAACTTGGTTAGGTAAATCCTGATTCTTGCTCTTTCTCACAATATTTACAAGGCAATTTAAATGCCAGAAAGGACTTGTCAAACCATCTGGCATCCTCTGAAGTAAGAAACCCTGGCCCTGGAGGAAAGGCAAATGAGTAATGTAGGAGCAACTAGCTAGCAGAGCACTTGCATTCTATTTATCTAACAGAGTACACAAACCTATAGGTTATAAAAGAGTAGGAGGTTACTTTTTAGAGATATTATTTTCCATGAATGCTAGAGAGAGAATTTTTTTTTCAATGTGGAAAATACTTCCTGCAAAACTGGAAAAAAACCATTTCATTCTTCTGTTAGGGAACTTGATTTGAATGCTATGCATGTCATCAAAGAAAACCTTTGCTTTGATCTGAATCTGTACAATGGGTATTAAGATGAAGATGGTTTTCTTCAGAAGCTTCATTAGTCTTCTGTACTCATGTTTTTTTATCAGACAAAGTTTAGAGGGTAACAGTGGCTGTTTCCCTCGCTGTTAATATCAGCTAGCGAAATGCCCATCAGTTTTCTCCTTCTTGGGAAGTTGGATGCTTTGCTGAATCCGCACATCTTTGGCAAGGTTGTCTCTGCAAGCAAAGAAACGAGACCTTATAGCACCTTCCAGTGCCTGAAGGGGCTACAGGGAAGCTGGGGGGGACTTTTTACAAGGGCCTGTAGTGACAGGACAAGGGGGAACGGGTTTAAATTGAAAGTGGGGAGGTTTAGATTAGATATCAGGAAGAAGTTCTTCATGGAGAGGGTGGTGAGGCACTGGAACAGGTTGCCCAGAGAAGCTGTGGATGCCCCATCCCTGGAAGTGTTCAAGGCCAGGCTGGATGAGGCTTGGAGCAACCTGGTCTAGTGGAAGGTGTCCCTGCCCAGGGCAGGGGGGTTGGAACTTTAAGGGCTTTTTTGGTCTTTAAGGTCCCTTTCAACCCAAACCCTTCTGTGATTCTATGGAACTTATATCATTATCACACTCTCTTCTCCACTGAAAAGTAGCCAATAATTGCTTTGTATGGATCATTCTTTTTTCCATGTTTCTCACATGAGGCTTAGGATGAGAAATTGCACACACACAGCCTGAGAAATAAGCTCTGTGTGAGAGAAAGGGAGAGACTGGAAAGGGATCTGCTAAGGGGATGTGAAATACAAAATCTTTGGAGCATTTTTGGAAGCTGCCAACTTGAAGGAGCTGTTTTAATTTCAAGGCTCGCACATTCTCAAAGAGCACCTGTGCTGAGTTTCACACCACTGATGCTTAACTAAAATCATCTTCTTTTGATGAGTTGATGTGAAATAATAATCTAATATAGGCAGCGGTGGCAATGGTAGGCACAGTAAAGAAATACAGATCATTCTTTGGGGAGAAGATGGGCAAGGGACACCAGAATGATTGAATTTGATTACCAGTAACTACAAAAATTTTAGCTGATGACCCTTCTGAGCAAGTGTTATACTGAACAAACCTCAGGAACACAGGGAATTTTAGAAATGTTCAGGTGTTTTACATGCAGGCATGTTTACAGGGGCATTTTACATGTTCTTACGGAAGTCAACCAACTGTGCTGTTCTTGTGTGATGAAAATTCTAAGGCATGAAATACTAATACGTCGTACTGTAGAGCATACTCAGTAGCTTGAATGGTTTTATGTAAGGAATCCTTGTCCAAATACAGCATTTTTAGTGGTTCTGCAGGGATGTGTATGCATATAGAGTGGACAGCAGTTATGCCACTGTCTTTGGCAGCCATCTACCTACCTTGCTTGGTAATCTAAAATGGGCATTTTACTACAGGAAAACCACTTGTAATATGCAAAATTAGTGATTGTACTCACAGACCAGTAGCTATAAAAGCAACTTTGCTGTTGGAGGGAAGATACAGCTGAACGGCACTTGCCACACTGAGGCAGTGACTAGGAGAGGCAACAGTCTGCCCCCTCTGACCTTAGCCAAGGCAAAACGTCAGGTACCTTACACTTGCTTTTAACATTTGTGAGGCTGTTACTGGAACGGGGTGCCAGTCTGGAGCCCAAGGATCGTTAAAGCCTGCTGACAAATTAGGAGGGATTCAGAGGAGTTTCAGTCATGCTTTGGAAACCTGCCTTACATCTAGAAACTGTTTTATCCAAGGTACCTTTAAAGGTTTTGCCTAAGATCAAGTATCTTTATGAGCCAAGAGGGTAATGGGATCCAGCTGCTCATGGACAAAGTGAAAATAAGGGGTAGATGGATGTGGGGAGGACCACTGTTGTTGTGACCTGTTCACTTCTGGTCAGTCATTACTAGTGGCCAGGTCAGGCCAGCTCCACTACCCAGAATTGCAAATATTTTCATTGGCTCATGTGACTGTCGTGCTCACCCATTAGTAAGAGAGAGTTAGCTTGGCCAATTTTAGCTGAAAGGAAAAAAAAGTTTCTGTCTCGATGCTGTCCGTAACTTCATTTTAGAGTCCTAATATCCTAAATAAATTCTTCCTTCTTCTTTTTAGGGCACCAATGCCTCTGCTCTGGAAAAAGACATTGGCCCAGAGCAGTTTCCAATCAATGAGCACTACTTTGGATTGGTCAATGTAAGTACCATTTTCAGTAGGCAAACCAGATACAGAACTATGGCTTTGATTTTACGTGAAAAATGAAAGAAAATTATTTTCTTTTTTCTTGTTTCTTTCCTGTTCTAAGGCAGGACTGTCTTTTTTTGAAAAAGCACTGCTTATGTTTCAATTTTAGACAAAGTGGGTTGCGAAACTGTATCAGGTGTTTGAAGACAGAGTCACACACCCCCAGAAAAATAGTTTACTCCTCAGTGAATGTTTCCAGTGATTAGAACTTACACTTCAGTAAAGTTGAAAGTCCATTTTAGCTACAAAATGTGAGGGTCAGTCTCTTAAATTTTTGGTAGGAAGTGATGGAAGTACATACAAGCTTAGGTACAGCCGTCTGCACCAGCAACTCTTTGGAGGAGCTTTTTTACCTAAGGAGAGAATGGATAAGAATGCTGTTTAATCACTTGTTTATTCCCATATAAATAAATCAGATATAGTAATTCTTTCCATTGAAAACATTAGTCATTCTGCTACTAAGCAGCAAGATAGAGCCCAGCAAGAATATATTAATATATGAAAACAAGCTTAACAAGAACCACTACAATAAATATATCTCTTGCAAGTTGAAACTTTTACTTTGTGTCGTAGTTAATTTAGAACACCATGGTTTTTTTTTTCTGTAAAGTGTCAAGTGTGGGTGTGGGAATGTATTTCTACAGCAGCTGCATGGCAAAATGGCTGGTATGTGACAGGGACACAGAAGCCAGAAGTTGAAGGAAGCAACTAGTTTTATTGTGATGCCCAGGGATTAAGATTGTTTTTACTTTTACTTGGCAGTTTGGGAATACCTGCTACTGTAACTCCGTGCTGCAGGCACTGTATTTTTGCCGGCCGTTTCGGGAAAATGTATTATCATACAAGGCCCAACAGAAAAAGAAGGAAAATCTCTTGACTTGCCTGGCAGATCTTTTCCACAGTATTGCTACTCAGAAGAAGAAAGTCGGAGTTATTCCACCAAAGAAGTTCATATCAAGGTTACGAAAAGAGAATGGTAAGTGTAAAACTGGAATCCTCTTAGACTTTTATACATTGATCGAGAAAGTCTAAATAAGTGTGGCTTCATGGGGTAATGTGGTCACGTTAATCAGATGTTCAGGTTAAATTTGTAAATTACCTTTAGTGCTTTCAGGGGTTTAGATATTAATAGTTTAGTATCCGTGTACATGATATTATGCTTGAAACAACTGTATCAGGTTTCATAAGTTCCCAGAGGTGCATGAATTAATGATGTTTTCACAGCACAGTGGGACAGACTGCACTGAACAGTGAGCTAGGGCTGGGAATAGGGTGAGACTGCCATAATTTTTCATTATTTTTTTGTGGAGTATGGCTGAGAGAAACATTGAGGGCAGTTGGCAATACAGAAACTGTGACCTAGGAATGCTACAGGTACCACTAGTCCCAAACGCCCCGGAGGATGGGTAACTGGATTTATGTGAGGGTGTTCAGTAGACTACACGTCAACTGCTGCTTTTGTTCTTAGAAGTGGTGGGCACAGTCTTACTTTGTGAAGCATCAGAGCATTAGGTTGGCATAAACTTGTAGTTGTTCTGTCTGAGGGATATGAGGAACATCTTGAAATAAGGAAGCCTGCCACACAGCTCCATTTTGGCCTGGATCCATATCAGTGTGGGTGGTATGCTTAGAAACAGGGGAGCTTTGAATGAAGAGACAAAGTAAGAGTCAAACACCTGGAAGAAATTGCTTCCTGGTGACAGCATATAAATGGGCAGACTGTTCATTCCAGAGCAGGCTTTTGAAAGTGTGACAAAGTTAGCTCTGAGTCATCTGGTGATAAACGCCTCCACACTGTTGGGGATCACTTTTAGGGAATGGATCTTAGGTTTTCAGCTTTTTTAAATTAGGGCCACACTAGGTGTGTATTAACCAGCTTATGTGTCTAGGCTAGACACTGCAAAGCCAAAGGATCTGTGCAGTATTTTCTGAGGAAATCCATGTGAGCTTTTTCAGGAGAAGGAGGATAAAAATACACATTCTTTTTTCTTCAGCATGGTGGGAAAATTAAGCCTTCACTGGAGAAGCCTCTACTAAATCACCACTGAGATGTTCTTCTCTCCTCCTGCATCATTTCTTATTGAAGAGGTCAAGTCTCTGCACATCACGCTTATGTGTGAAAAAAGAGCTTTGTTAGATGATGTTGTTATTACTGTTTGTGGTGGGTTAACCTTGGCTCCTGCCAGGTACCCACCAAACTGCTCTCTCACTCCCCTCCTCAGTAGGACAGGGCAAAGAAAATAAGATGAAAAAAACTTGTGTTTTGAGATGGAGGCAGTTTAATAAAAAAAACCCCAAAGGCCACGTGCAGAAGCAAAGCAAAACCAAAGGAGATTTATTCTCTGCTTCCCATCAGCAGGCAATTTCCAGCCACTCCCTGGGAAGCAAGGCCTCGGTATGCATAGGAGTTGCATTGGAAGAAAAGCATCTTAGTAATGAATGCCCCCCCTCCTCCTTTCTCTTAGCTTTTATTGATGAACATGAAGTCACATGGCATAGAATATTCCTTTGGTCAGTCTGGGTCAGCTGTCCCCTCCCAACCTCTTGCCTACTCCCAGCCTACCAACATTTGGCAGGAGTCAGGGAGGTTGGATGGAGAGATGGCCTTGATGCTGTGCGAGCACTGCTCAGCCATAGCCCAAACATGGATGTGTTATCAGCACCCTTCTAGCCACACGTACAAAGCAGAGTATGGGCTGGTGTGTGGAGAGGTAGCCCCATCCCAGCCAGACACAGTACACTAGCACATGTCAGCATCCAGTGTCTTCAGTTTCCCTGCCCATGTGTCTCGCTGTCCAAACTCTGTGATGTTCCTAAGTATGCGAGGGACTTGGAATATAGGTGGGAGTCAGTGCTGCCTAAAGTTAGGCATCTAGTCTAAGGAATTAATTTAGGATGAGTCACCCTCTTGCTTTCCTCATTGACTGTAGTGGGAGCCTACACAACCAACTCCAAAGAAGAGTGTAACCTTCCAGACAGCTAAAGTTAGGCGAGACAAAGCCCTCCCCCAAAGCAGCTTCACTGGAGCCAGCGTGACTGCAAAACTGCTGCTCTTTGGCATGATTCTAAATACTTTGCTAAACAAGGGCCAGTACATGTATTTGGAAAGAAATAATGACTTCAGTTTGCTTTCTGGAAGGGAAGGATATATTCAGCTTTAGAAATCTCGACTCTCTTCTTCACAGATCTCTTTGACAACTACATGCAGCAGGATGCACATGAGTTTTTAAATTACCTGCTCAACACCATCGCAGACATTTTGCAGGAGGAGAAGAAACAGGAAAAGCAAAATGGGAAACTGAAAAATGGCAACATGAATGAAGCTGAAGAGAACAATAAACAAGAACTCACCTGGGTGCATGAGATTTTTCAGGGAACACTGACTAACGAAACTAGATGTTTGAACTGTGAAACCGTAAGCATTGGGATAGATTTTTTTTTTTGGTTGTTGCCCATTAATAGATAGATACATTTTATATATATAAATATATGAATCTTTTCAGACATCTGAGAATTGTGGATATTCCTGTAGACTTTACTTCTTGAAGTGAGTATATTCTTTTCTAAAAATTTATTTTTCTAGGCATTGCTTGGCTAACCTATGCCAAGTCTGCAGTTAAAATCCTTGCTAGTTAATCAATACCCTTCCTTATTACTGTAACTCTGGGAGAAGATATTCACATCATTATTCCATGGATAAGTGAAATGTTAAGATGAATTTGTGTTAGTTCAATCCTAAGAATGTGACTGCCATACAGAGGGTTTGGTATTAACAAACCATATGTTTTCTGCTATCTCCCTAATATTCTGTAGAGGATGCTGTCAGTTTGAAGTCTCTTATATTTGAAGTATGAGTAAAAATCAGTTTTAGTTAGGAAACCCAACTGCGAGTCTCCTTTCAATTTCTGTTTTTTTCAATAAGATGCTCCTACTTAAAGGGAAGAGAAATAGTAATACAGAAAGTTTCTCTCTGTGAGATTGTTATGTGGAAGAGTAACACAGACAGGAAAAAAAAAAATCTATTTTGGGGAGAACAGAGACACTGACTTTCCAAAAAGATTGGAATTAACCTTACCTAAACTTTGTAAAAGGTAGGTGTCAAGGGTGAACTAGTTTTCTCAGCTCCGTCTGAGATGATGGAGATTGCAAAGGAGCTCCTGCAGGAAGCTCGCTCCATCTGCCTCTAGGCTGTTTCATGAAACGGAAGGTTTTTAGCAGTGTCAGGTGTTCTGCTCCATACAGCTTGTCCTGGCTCCATGCTGTTACCGAGCTGTCGCAATTGTTGGCGCAGCAGTGCTGCGAACTGGGCCAGCAAACTCACCTGGCCAACGAATAATGTGCTTTTAACCCAGACCAGTACGGCTACCAAGGGCTTCCTCTAAAGAAAATGCAACTTTGGATTATCTGCATTAAAATGGGAGGAGGTGGCCAGAGAAGGTATCTTCAGAGAGCAAGCTGAGGTTAAATATTTAACTTCAGACAGCTGAAGTTAGGTGAGATAAACCCCACCCAGGTCCTGCCAGATATGTAAAAGAACATATTATGATATTTCTAATCATAAGGAATAGCTCTGTACTGTGAGAAAATACAAATTCTCCAAGGATTGTAGTCAGAGAAAAAGAGATACAGTGATAACATGAAAAAAGAGGTTGAACCAAGTTTGGAACAAGCTTCTACAAATGAAAACATGAGAGAGAGACTGAAAATGAATTCTTTCATCTATTTAAGTTATAAAAACCCAAGTAATAAGAGCAAGTTAAAATAAGTGAAAAGGTAGAATTATTTTTTAACTGACAAGCTTCTTTAAAAGGGTGTGGTCTATTTCTAAATTAATAGCCAGTGTTTACTCAGACAAACTCTACTGAAGTCAGGATGTGTTCTTGGGTAACAGCAAAGCCGCACAATACCCTATTTGTAATTCAAAGTCACCGAGCTTTATGGAAAAATTAGCTCTAGGTACTGCTGCTGTAGGAAGGCCTGCCTGTAGCTTGCTTTAGCTATGGTTATATAGCAGTATTTCTGCTTTCACAGGATACACTCAGGATACTTTTCCAGTTTGTTTTTTCTTGTATTATCATGTCTTGATATCTTTGGGAATTGCTGAAATGGATTAAAAGATGTTCTTTTGCTAAAATATTCATATGTAGTGCGTGAAGAATCATTCAGATCCCAGCAATTCTTACTCTCACCTACAAGGAGTGCAATTTGAATCTGGTTTGCTAGCCACCTTTAGTTTTGGTCTGTATTATTCTAGCTCCAACTAGCTCATCTTCCCCTCTCAGTAAATATTTGATGTGCTGAAATCAATACCAAAATTCCTAGCTGATTTTTGGGTATTCAGATGATACACTGTGCTTACCAAAGGCTTTTCCAAACCTCTTGCTTGGTGTGCAGTGTGTCTGACACAACTCCAGTCCCAGCCGTAGAGACACAATGTCCTCTGAAGCTTTGTTGCTCTATCTTTCGAGTTCGTGGTTTCCTGTCCCCTGTGGGTCAAATCATGTCTCAGGGAGGCGTTCTGTTTGAAGAACTGTTCTTCATTTTAATGGGGTGCATGTTATGCCTCTGTACTTCTTTGATAATATCAAAATTCATCCTGCTAAAGGTGTTTCTCTGGATTCAGGACTAATGTGGGCTGCATTCACCATGTTTATGGGATCTCTGACATAACGCAAAGATGAGCTGAAAGTAGTACGTAACTTCCACACCCATAGAATTGCAGAAATCTGAACACGAGGGACGTGCGTCAGAGCAATGGATTCAGCCCCTCACTGAAGTTCTTGATTTGAACTTCACTATCCCATCATCTGATTTAATTATTTTAAGGAGATGCAGTCATAGGAGGCAAAACATGGAGCGTTCATGCAGCATTTTATAAACAAAATCGGTTGTTACAAATAAGACCACATTCATGTGCAGTAATTCTGCAGTCTTTTTCACTCAGCTGAAGTATCACAACAATTATCTGTTTGGATGATTTTTTTTTTTTTTTACATCATCTTCAAGATTAAACACTCAAAGAATCATTTTCAAAGATAAACCCAAGATCTGTCATTCTGAAAGTGTTTGTTTTTTTAAAATAAAAATGCTTTATTAGAATGCTCCTCCTCTTTCTCTCTCTAAAAAAACATTGGCAAAATTGAAATGATTTTACGAGGTATCACCACGTTGCCGTTTTTACCTTTAATCTTTTAATTTTTTAAATCAAAATTATCAGGGACAGTATTCAATGGAGAAATGCATTTGTGTGAAGCAGAAATATAAAGCCAGCCTTTTGAATGCTCTCTGGAGAGAAAACATAACTTGGTTATATATGACATTTCCTGACAGATAGTTATTTAAAAAATATCTCCATTGCATCCTTAACAGTGGAAATAATTATGTAGGGCAAAACTGTGATTATACAGTGTAATATATTATACAAAGGGTGAATAAAATTCCAGTAAAATAAGAAACTACGCTGTGTTGCGTAACAAGGGAGCATACATACTGCACCAGTCACAGCTAATATAGTCACAGCTAATAACTCATTTTCTGATCCCCCTGTCATGAAGAGTAGACTGCGGTCACTGCCCCATGGTTGGTGGGTTTGGGTAAGTGGAACGGACGGAAGTTAAATGACATGAAAGCTGGGTTGGTAGAGTTGCTAATAAATGTGGTCACGCTGAACTAGGAAACAATTCAAAAGCACTGAAGTGCATTATTTTTGTGTAATTTATTTCTGCAGAAACTTCTCTGTCTTTAGCATTTGCATGTAGATATAAACAGCATTTAGATATATGGTGATTTATTAAGTCTCTGTTTTACATGTATATTTTTTGCAACAGGTTAGTAGCAAAGATGAAGATTTTCTTGACCTTTCTGTTGATGTGGAGCAGAACACATCAATTACACACTGTCTAAGGTAAAGGAATGCATCTCTGTGTTAGATAGTTCTGTCTGACTTTGCTAAATTTTCCAAGTTTAGTAGGTACAGAAGAGAAACAGAATAGCATTTGGTTTTGAGCTTTTCCCAAGCAGAAGAAAAAGGCTGTAAACCGGATGTTTCCTCTAATGAAAAAATGTACATTAATGTATTTTTTTTTACTCATTTTCTCTTTCAATTTATGTGTTTGAAAGAGGAAAAAAAAATCATCTCTTGGGGGAAAATAATTGATTGCCTTGTCATCTGGAAGTATTGCTGCAGAATAATAATTGGCTTTGAAGGGATTTCAGTGTGCTTATCTTTAAGCTTCTACTTGAGTGCTCTGTTGATTAGGACTTATGCATATTAGAAGTTAAGTGTGTGTTTTGCAGAGTGAGTGATAGAGTCCCTAGAGGGCAAAAGATTTCAAAAGTCTACTTTTGCGCTAAGTTTTTTATTCTGTGTCTTGTCTTAAAATTACAGGGAGAAGTCTTTTATTCTAAGTTTTCAGTTCTGACCCTAGTTCACTCTTAAACAAATACTGCAGAGATCAGAGTAATTTTCAGACTTGCATAGATGATTTTTTCTGAGAGATTTAAAGTATCAGGAGTTTTCGTATTGATACAATAAACCTAGATTTAAGACAGTGTGTTGCTGCTCTAAGATAACGATTATCAGTTGATCAAATTACTCCATCAAGCTCCAGAACTGCTACCAACTTTGAAATGGCATTTAACAGTGATGCTGGAATGCCTTGGAAGGGTTGCCTGTCACCTCACCCCAAATAGAGACAGAGAAAGCATATGAGGGACTAACCATTTCCTGAGTCAGAAAGCAGTGATTTCCCTGTGGATACAGGGGAGTTACTAAGTAACTTCTGTTACATTTTAAGGCCCTAGATCCAGAGATATTTTTTCCTTCTCCGTTTCCATTCAGTCTCCTGTAGGTTATTGCAACGTTCCTCAGCCCTCAAGTAGTCCATGCTGCAGCAGCTACCCTCGTCGTAAAAAGTGAGCAAACTGAAGAGTGGCTTTAGAAAGGAGTACTTTTAGGAAGTTTTTTCCCTGTTGTGTCTTTGTTCGTGGGCAGCGATAACTGACCCAGTATTGGTACTGCAGACTTTTGTTAGCATACTCTTCTGTGCTGTAGTCACTGCTTTGAACTTGTTTGTGCCAGCATTAGTTACCTTCCCCTACGGGGTTCAAAGTCAATTGGAAATCATGAGGAGGCTCAAGTGTGAACCTTCTGAAGTCCTTTCTAGCCTGAGTTGTTTTTTGGTGCTATGGTGTAGTTACTGGAGACTGACTTTCTCTTACAGCTTAGTCTGGTGAACTTGCTAGAAACGGCTGCTGTATATGAGTTATCACCTGTCCTTCAGCTTTCTCCAATTTCTTTTTAAATTTCTTAGTAGTTAAGCTTCCTGGAAGTGTTTTGTTTGGAAAGACCTTTTTACGCAAAGACAGAGTACTTCAGTAAAAATACCAGTAGTATTTCTGCCTTTGAATAGCCACTGTACTGCATCTGCACTGAACTGCATCTGCACTACTGCCCTCCCCAGGTGAATGATGGAGTTGAAAGGGACCCCAGGAGGTTAGCCTCTGTCTCCACTTCAGACGTGATGCTTGTTCAACTTGTTCCAAAAGATCTTTTGGCACTACTAGCTCGATTGCCTACCCCAGTCCTTTCTGTTCTTACTACTAACAAGTTTTTCTGCTGTGAAAATGTGAATCCTTCTTGTTTCAGTTCAAGCCCATTTCTACTTGCCCTGTGTACTCTGGACATAAACGAGGGGTTGCTCCCCTTCCTCTTAGCAGCAGCCTTTTACAGACAGGAAGAGTGTCATCACTTTCTAAGTTAAACAGCCTAAGGTGATTCAACCTTTCCTTCACAGTCCATCTTCTCTAGATCTCTGCTCATGTTCATTACCCTTCAGCCTTCCTTCCAGCTGAACCTGTCTCTTGAATTCATGCTTTCTTCAAGTGCTCTTGCCTAAAATCAGGCACAATATTCCAGCAGAGATCTACACAATCCTGAGAAGAGTGGTTGCCCTAAAAATTTGTTTATTCATCCCAGTATAATATTTGCCTTCACTCCAAACAGCATGACATGCATTTTGAAGTCCGGTCATTGCTCCTTTTGCAAATAAAGGGAAACAAAATCCCAGCTTTTCTTTTCTTGTGATAGGAGGTGCAGATTGCTATTTACAGATTGAACAGGAAGAGAGTCACCGCGTACCATCTGTTCTGATTGATTTTTACACTATAAGCATGTCTACCTCTGTTTAGAAAACACATATTCAGTTAGAATATGGGTTTCCTCTCATTGCTCTGTGGTATTATGTGTTATTAAATGAAGTGCAAGTGCTTTTGTGGTTTCTGCTAATGGGAAGGGCAAAGGTATTACTCTTTTCGGAAGCTTTACCATCTTTTTTTAAACAATGGCTTTGCTATGTCTTTACTGCTTTAAATGCATTGAAAGGGTAAATGAAAGAAAAACTGTGGAAGATAACATTTAAGTGGAATGAATTCCTTTGCCACTAGAGATGAATGTTCTTTTTAGTTACTTCTGTAGCTTTTCAGACTGAAAAGGTCCTTGAGTACATAAGAAGTCCAAGGAATACAAGCCTCTGGCAAAGTCTAACTCCACAGGGTAGATCAGGCCTGAAGCAATAAAGTCTAATAACAAATATAGCACATATCCATTGTTTTTATTTCCACTGGGAGTTGCAAAGTTTACCAGGCCATTTGATCCTGACTTCCAACTAGTCTGCCTGTGCATTTTTATTCCACTAAGAGTTCTCTCATCTCTTAAAATAGAAAATCTCTATTATCGATGCATACAAACAATGGAAAGGAAAGCATCTTTAACAATGTAGCATAGAGTGTGTAGAGAGATGAACTGTGGGAGCCCGTGAGGTCAATGATAAACCAGTATGTCTTGAGCGGATGTATTTAAAAATTCCTTTCTCCTGATAAATGCTATATAAACAGAATGCAGATTGGCCTGATAATGGAATAGGAAGGAGAAATGTCTTGAAACTGGCTCTGCAGGTATAGAGAAAAGTTCCTCAAGCCTATGGTTCTTGTACATGCAGAGTTTGCCTGAACTCCAGTCATAATCTGTTGTTTTTAACTACTGGAAGTGCCACAGGAAATTCTTGATTAATGAAACAGCTACTGAAGCTGCAGTTGTAAAGGGCATCAAAAGCATCTAATTCTCATCTGCATACCTCCCTTCCCCCGGGGAGTTACTGCCTGTAAACATGCCACCACTTTTGTTCCTGGTACAGAAAAAGAAATTATTATGTGCAGAATAATTGAATTAGTAGTGCCTCTAAATCCTGTGACTGTGCTTCACCTGATCTGGCAGAACAGGGTAACAGCCTGTCAGGTGGAAGTAAAAGACAGCGGAACAAAAGAGCAAATGCTAAGGCACATGTAAGGGAGTGTCCCTCAGCTTAGCAAGTATTTTTCTAAGTGCATATTTCTCCTGCTTTCATAGGTGTAATTCCCATGGCAGCCAACTTACCATTTAAAAATGTTAGATATTATTGGTTTCAGAGCAATTAATGTATTTTAAAGGGATTTCAGTTTGAGTTTAATTCATTTTCATGGGAAGCTTGGCACGGAGCAAATCAATATCTATCAAATTTCTTCTATCTGTACATGTTTTTTTATGTTTGAAAAATATGATCTCCAGTGCTTCAATTTGAGGTGGAAAGGAAACTAGTAAATTCCGTAAGTTTGGGGTTCTGGGGTTTTTTTAATTGAGACTTCAAGGCTTTGAAAATAAACACTTCAGAACCCCAAGACTTCAAGACTTTGAAAGACTTCAAGGCTTTGAAAATAAACATCAGACTCCTTTCTTAATAGAAGACCTAAAACTTACACAAATGCATTCTACTGAATCTTCCTACAGAAGCACTATATTCACCACACATATAGCCCATCTGTAATCTTTTCTAAAGCTTCATCTCTTCATAAAGGTCACCATAATTTTTGGAGGAATCAGCTGAATTCAGTTAACCTTGCCTTTAAATTCAAACCTGAAATCAGGTATTTGAGATCAGTGTTTACCACTGAAACAAATCCTTTCCAGTGATCATGCTTTATTTTTTGTTTAGATAAAAAAATATGCTTATGATCAAAGTTTTGTTGCAACTTCTCCTTCAAGAGATGTATTTTTGTCCTAAATTTCAGCACTTTCTCATCAAATTAAGACCATATAAAGAAAAAACCCTAGGAAAAGCATTCTCCATTAGTGTAAATACTGTTCAGTCATATGAAGTGCCTCTCTGTCATGCTCTGTCAACCTGAAAGAACCTAATATTTGAAAATGGAAAATCCTCCCCTTCTATGAAGTTATGTAAATAACTTCTAATACCTATGCCCTAGTAATCTGTATAGTCTTCAGCTCTCCATCTACCCTCGTGGTGATGATGCCAGGAAGAACTAATCACCCAGAATCCTCCCTTTGCCTTTGTAAGGTGATTCTGGTGCTGCCTACTGTGAGAGCAGGCTCAGCTGGCCGACAGTGCGGCTTCAGCCTCCGTGTGTGTGGACTACAATGGTAGAATGGGGTTTATTGGGTCTGGATGGATCTGAATTTGTCTGGAGTTTCAGAAGTCTATTAGGTACAATACAAGTGCAATTAACAAGGCAGTTTCTACTTCATAGAATCACAGAATGGT